AGGAGCCTCTCTGGAGCTGCGCACCTCGGCAGATCATACATGCATGCCGGCGTGCATGCAAATACGCACACATGTATATGCATAAGTACACACTGTTCCTGAGACTCTGGCTGGGAGCCCTTTGCCCTTGCACCTATCAGTTTATCCGGGGTGCTTGAATTTCCGCATGTGCAATGGGAAGCTGAGCTCACCCCAGCTCCACGGCACTGCTGAAGTGAGCTGGGGGACAAACTCCCTGGGACATTTCAGCAACCCCTGGTGTTTGTTTAGTTGGAAAAGACACATGAGGGTACAGGGAGGCCCAGGCTTGCGCACCAGCTTCAGGATTACTCCACTCGTGTTTTCATGGTTCTCTGGTTTCATAAATAGAGCAACCTAAAACAGGATATAAATTCCTTCTAACGGCATATAGGCTTGAATACAGAGAAGAGCATAGTGATCTAGAGGCCCTGGGACCTAGCCCTCCACCTCCAAATTTTGGCAGTGATCACTGTTGGCAATTGGGCATGTGCTCTGCAAAATGGCTGCTTGTCTCACGGTGGTCTGAGGGGCAACAGCGGCAACGACGTTACAGTCATACAGTGTGTGTGGGGCACCACAGGTGCTCCCAAGCCATCCAGCCCCACAGAGCCGGGGATCGCCTTCCTCTCTGCTCACCCCACCTGCCCTCCTCAGAGCTGAAAGCCACGGGAGCACCTCTGCCTGCACTGCAGCCCAGCAATGCATCCTGTCTGCAGTGTTTGCTGGGCAGACACATGGTGGTAACCCAGCATGAGCTGTCATGGTGAGGGTTCTTGTGGGTACCATGCATCAGTCCAAATATGTATTTGCAGCACTGCTCTTCTGGCTTTATACACACACACACACACACACACACACACACTCTTTTCAGAGGTGTTAACAACATACCTCTCTTGATGCCTAACACAATTGCTCACACTATTTCACAAAGCTGCACTTAGCCAGAGGTGTCTGTGCTCCCCTCCCTGCAGTTTTTCCCATATAGCAGCACTGAGGAAAGATAATGGGCTCAGGTAATTTTGTCTTATAGAGCAGAGAATTATGACAAACCATAATGTGCTTGAATTAGAATGACAGACCATGAAGTAATGTTTTTTCCCTTTACGCTGCCTGCCCTGCCTGACCCAACTGTCAGCTGAGCTGCCTGCCACAGTGATTATTTCACCCACCACAGTGAAAATCTTTATTGGACACAGCAAAGTCTTCAGTGTTAAAATCCAGCCCACCTCAGAGATGAGCAGGATTTAGCTGGGGCTTAGCCTGCATGGTAGCTCCAGCCACCTGCTGCTTCCTCCGGGAGCTCACTACCTCAAACCACACTGCATGCTTTTCCTGTTGGAGGGGGAGAACAACAACAAAGTGGGCTAGTTTCAGCACAGATCACCCAAGGGGCAAATTTACAACCCTGCCTACAAAGCACAGCCTAGATAGAAGAAAGCAGTACCAAGGTGAAAAGCCAGCCATTTTCAGCCCCTCTCTCTAGAACCTACTGTTTGAAACTACTGACCTCCACCTGCCCTCAGCAGATGTGCCAGCACTATGGTTATTTGGCTTCCAAGTCCAGTACATATTGCTTTGCTTGGTCCTTCTTAGGGAAGGATGGATGTTAGGGGGCTCCCTGAGCCACCTCCCAGACCTGCCATTTCTTTGACCTGGTACCATATCATTAGAGATGTGTTTGGTAAACCTGCTGGGAGTGGGGAAAAGCCCCTCAGCTTCACAGGGCATCATTAGTTTCTTTCTTTTGGAGCTGAACAAGCCCTGTTTGAGCTGCACATACTTTGACACCTACCTACATCCAAGTGTTTCCTCCTGGAGCCCATCCTAAACCTGGTCATTTGGTGAAGCTGCACCCAGGTACACATGGGGCAGGAGGTGGCTGTGCTCCTAAGCTGTGCCATCCCTCCTTGGCCTGGCTAGAAGAGGAAACAGAGTGAGGAGCTGTCTTCCAGAAGTCATCTTTACATCAGAGTGAATTCAGGGTGCGTCCGCCCTAGATATGCACACACATATGCATACATGGGAGTTCAAAATGCGACATATACTGTGCAGTAGGGAAAAGAAAATCTGAGTGTGGGTAGGCTTTGCTGGAGCTACTCATTATCAGATACAAAAATGTGGGTATTTAATGAAAGTAAATAAGACGCATTCCATATCAATCACAAACAGTATTTCAGGCTTTCAGGTCTTACTCTCTGGCATGATGAGATGCTGCAAAGGACTTAAGATATTCTCAGACAAATCAGTATCTCCAGTGTTTCAAGTATCTGTTCTTTAAATATTTCTTTCATTGACATTTTTTTTCTGACAGTTTTACAACTCTTGCTCCTGTTGCGCTGTAGGGATGTTTCCATCAGTCTGCTGTAATGGGAGGACCCACTCTACTGAAACACTCAAGCAGGTGCTGAAGTTTACCCTGTTGACTAGCTCTGGGAAAATCCAAAGGCCCCTCTATCCAATTCTGGTGGATCAGGGCTTCATTAAATTGTAGGATTTACGTGCATTGCATCAATACATGATATTAATGTGGCAGCATCCAACCCTACTCCTCTGCTCTCACACCACCTTTGATATGCCTGAAACAGTTCCTTAGGAAATGAGCAGCTGTGATCACCATGTGCAACACATGCCCACATCTGTGTTAAGAGGATGAGCTCTGACCTTGGAAAAAATCCTAATTACAGCTTTCATGCATTCTTTGTCACCATGATTTCTGTTCCTACTGTATACTCTTAAGGATTTCAGCTTTTGCATTGCAAGCTCCTGGAGGCAGCAGAGCTTTCTAACTTTGGCTGCAAATATTTGCATACACACTGAGCTGCAAGAGACTTTTTCCACCGTTTTTATATTATTTAACACAGTTCTTTTCTGCTCATTTTTTCTCACTTCTCCTCCGAAGGAAAGCGACAGAGTCAGCCACAATGTGCCTGCAAGTGCTGTGAGACAGAAATCCATAACCATCCCTTCCTCCTGCTCCTTCCGTGGTTTTAGACCATTACTGAAAAAATATTTCCTTGATCAGCCTACATGAAAGGAGAGGAGTGTAGGAAGACTTGTAAATAGAACTGAGGAGAATTATTTTTGCAAATGTTTTATTTTCTTATGTTGGGGGGGGGGAGGGAATAATGGTTCTCCAGTTGTTGCAAAACAACGCTCCAGTTGGGTTTGAGTTTCCCAAGTAGTTTTGACCAGCTGTTGGCATTCAGAGCTTGTTTCGTGCAACTGATGGCCAAGGAGGGAGCAGTTGGGGCCTCACCAAGGCCAGCAGGGAGGCAGAGGGGACATGGGACGTCCAGTGCCCCCTTTCCACCTCCAACAGGGAGAACAGCATGCTCCTCCTTTCCTTGGTTCTTCATTTCTTTGTCATGGCTGGATAATTAAGTGTCTTATGCCAAATGAACAGCTCGCACAGGAAGGGCTGAGAGAGACCTACCTCAGAGTTTCCAAATGACTTGGGGAGATCCTGAGTCAAATCTCTTCTCTCAGCATGAAGAATGGCAGGGAGCATTGTGAGCTCCAATGCCCTTTCCTCTGAAGCACATCTCCCAGCCATCAAATTATAAAGAAAACCAGAAAGAGTAAATTTGGCTACTGGGATCATTTGGAAGAAAAAAGCTCAGCAAAAACCTGATTCCCTTCCCCAGCAGAGACATGGCAGGGCAGCGTTTCTGTGCCATTACGGACAACTTTCCTTATGTTTACTCTCCTTGGCTATTAAGGAAGACTGACCTCAAAAAAAAGTCTTTTTTGACTATGAAGATACAAATCTCTATGCGATTTACTCCAGCTTTAGTTTGCTTGTGCGATTTAGAAGCCAAACTTCCAAATCTGAAAGGTGGAATAGAGTGATGGTTGACTCCATTCACCCAACAACTCTTTATTTGTTGCTGGCAGTTATATATGCATAGGCTATTCACATTTGATTTTAATAAGTTAATGCACGAGTTTATCAGAGAGAGAATATATCCTGTGCTTGTACCCACATACGGTGTTTATTTACTCTTTTAAAGCATGTTTACTGACCTTAGCAAATAGTATTTCCAAGAAAGCTGCTCACAGGTTAAGCAAATACTGAAGAGATACAAAGACACTATTTAATGAGGGAAGTGACTCACTGGCTTAATCACTGGTGGAGGCCTCCACCAGCAAGCTGGGATGCCAAGGCTGGGTAGAAGTGCAGTGGGCAGAGCACAGAAGTGCTCATACCCCCAGCATGAGCCAGGGGGTGTCATATTGTGACATCTCAGGTGTTGGAAAATGGTTCAAAAGATGTTGGAAAATAAACATCTTTTTGTCATGTTTTTGCCTCTCACCAGGGCCTCTCTAGCCCAATGCTGCGCTGCCCATCCCAGCGTCTCCTGGACAGGATAGTGCGGCGCTATGCTGAGGTGCCAGATGCTGGCAGCATCTACATGGACCACCTCACTGACCGGGACAAGCTGCGCCTGTTGTACACCCTGTCAGTGAATTCACACCCCATCTTGTTACAGGTATGTACCACCTGGAATGTCTTGAAATGTCACCTGCAACCCATTGCAAGCGAACCATTGCATGAGATATGCATCAGGCCCCAGAAGAGTTCCAGCCCTGGCCTTTGGCAAGCTCCCTAGCCTTCGGCAAGCTCCCTAGCCTTCATAAAGCATGTTTCTTCTATGGGGTTGGATGGCTGAAGCCAGGCAGACTCCTGTGGTGCTCCTTGCGTCGCCCAGTGAAGTTGTGGAGAGATATGAATGCCCAGCCCCTTAAATAAATCAGAACTCAGACGGGTTGTTGCACTAGTGCATTGTGAAAGCCAGGGTTTTACATGTCCCTGACACTTCAAAGTGTTGTGTTTGCATTGCTAATGTATTATTTAAAATCACAGCCTGTTTACAAAAGAGAAAGAGCGTGCTTTAGTGTGGGAGGACCAAGATGCAGCATTGAGGTTGAACATAGACTTGGGAAGCACTGATTTTCCAGGCTCCATGTGCCAGTGCTGTTTTTTCCATTTGAATGTTGCTGGTAACTAGCTCCATGGCAAAGCACAGCTTTGCAGAGGTGTTTGGTGGAATCCCAAATACAACTGAGCTCTGAGTTTTAAGGTAGATAGCTTGGAGGCCTCACGCCCCTTGCCTGATCCACTGCTGGCATGCCTGGCATGTGGCTCCTTTCTTTCCTTACATGTGTCTCCAAGAGAGTATGCTCACTTTTGCTCACCACCACCCCACCTTTAGCCCTCATTGCTGTTTCTTGCAACCTTTTAAGATTCCTCAAAAAAAAGAGGCAGCAGTAGCATCTATCTTCTGCCCAAGGCCACTGCTTCCCAAAGCAGTGTACATGGCTCTGCCCAGTCCTAGGTAGGGGGAATGGTTCTGGGAAGCTGGGGAGACAGACAAGTTGAAGGCAGAAAGCTTTGTGTTGGCATGGCTCAATAGTCATGCAGTTTGGTTTTCTACCTGCTAGCACAAGCTGCAACAACACAGGAAGCCCAGCCCGGGTGTCCCCACCATAGCAAACACCCAGCACTTCTGTCTCCAAGACTGCAAAGTCTCTTACAAAACAGACAGGCAGTTCTTACAGATTAGCAAAAACTGCTTTAGCCCCATCTCACCTCCAAACTGTGACTTCAGTGATGCAGTGCTCACGAGGAACCCATCAAAGGCTCCATAAAGACACCTAAAATTAGCTCTTCCATGGCTAAAATTTTCATTAATTTGAAATCTATTACTATCTTGGACTTTTGGTTAGTCTCCCTCATGAAATAATTCTTGAAATATCAGGTTCTTCTTCCTGGGGGAAAGAAGGGGGCAAAAAAGGAGCAAAAAAAGCAGCATAGCTACTCCAGGATGGTGCAGTGCATTCTTGGGCTGCTGTGGCAGGTTGAGGTGAGCAAGGGTTGTGGGCTGATTTAGAAAGCAACTATGACATTGGCACTGCTGCTTGAAGGGCACTTGAAAGTCATCTGGGAGGGATGTGGGTCCATGGGATTTCCAGAGGGGAAATCCCCATGTTCTTGCTCTTCCTGGCAGATCTTCCCCGACGTGGAGGGATGGCCTTTCCCGCGGTACTTGGGATCCTGCGGGCGGCTGGTGGTCAGTGCCAGCACCCGACCCCTGCGTGACTTCTATGGTGCAGCCCCCGAGGTTGCTGCTGACCTGGCCCTCCAACTCCTTGCTGTCCTCCGCTCCATGGGCACTAACGACCTCAACTATTTCTTCTACTTCACCCACGTGGATGCTGGCACCTTCGGCGTGTTCAGCAATGGGCATCTGTTCATCCGGGATGCCAGCACGCTGGGGATCATCGACAAGGAGGAAGGTACTCAGCAGGCTCCGTCTGTCGAGGGAGGGCTTAGCGAGGCAGGGGAAACAAATCTTTCACCTGCTACGCCTGGCTGTGCTGCTGATTGCTGTTTTTTAATCAGCCAAGCATCACTTGCTAAATTAAATAATGAAAAGTTCACGGGGAGATTTTTCTGACAGCAAAAGCATCAGCAGCTCCTGCCATCCTGGCTCTGAGTCAGGAAGGTGACAGGCAATTTATTTGTGCAGTCAGTGGTTTGGTGACCAACCATGGGCCCTTTCGTCCTGCCCCACCACCTCTGCACTGGCATCAGCATTCAGCATGCATAGCACTCAAGGCTCTCATTTGAAGTCCTTCTAAATCACCTCTTCTAAAACTTTTGCCACACAGATGTCAGTATTTGCAAGTAGAAATTTCATAACTTCATTTAAGTATTGAGTCAAATCATAGAATGGTTCAGGTTGGAAAGGAGCTTAAAGATCACCTAGTTCCAATCCCCCTGCCATGGGCAGGGACACCTTCCACTAGACCAGGTTGCTCAAAGCCCCGTCCAACCTGGCCTTGAACACTGCCAGGGATGAGGCAGCCACAGCTTCTCTGGGCACCCTGTGCCAGTGCCTCACCACCCTCACAGTGAAGAATTTTTTCCTAATATCTAATCTAAATGTTACGCTTTCATCTGAAAGCTGTACCCCGTTGTCCTATCGCTACATGCCCTTGTAAAAAGTCCCTCTCCAGATTTCTTGCAGGCCCCTTTTTAGGTATTGGAAGACTGTTATAAGGTCTCTGTGGAGCCTTCTCTTCTCCAGGCTGAACAAGCCCAGAAGACTCTTTTTAGGTGTGTTTATCACATTAACTACAAATAATAGTAATTATTATTATAACAACAAAATCCCTCCTCTGTCATTTTTATATAAAATCAAGGGTCGCTATTCACTTTTCACAGGTTACATTTGTCTACTCCTTAAAGTAGAGCTAGTGAAAGACTGTTCCTCCAATAATTCATACTGAATGTTCAAATTTTCAGAAGGCTTTTGCTCAGCTCACACATTCAGCTGAGCAGATCTCAAATATTCAGAAGCAGCTGTCAGAGAATCTTCCACTGGGTTTTTTTTTCTCATCCCAGCAGCTATTACTGTTAACTTGACTCCAGCTAGATGAGCTGCTGTTGCAATTTAATGATTTTGGGTAACATGGAAAAATTATGGGTTTGGCTATCTGTGGTAATTTTTGTAGGAGCTCCACTTTTTAGGTTAGTACTTCAGTTCTCATTTTTTCTGCATCAGTTTGACTTGACAGACTCCAAATCTTCTGTCAGGCGGTTCTGCAGAGCTCTGTCATTCAGGAGTGAGGAAATTGGCCCACATAGAGCTACAGCTCAGAGTACTTCATGGTGAAAGATAGCTGTATCCTTCAGATAGTAACAAACCCCATGTCAATACAGAGGTACAGACATGTGATTTTGCTACTGTGTTTCTAACAGCTGCTTTAATTTTCTCTAATAGGGAGCCAGCTGATTGACGGCCAACAAGAATATAAAGATATATTTAGCTGTTTGACTGTGGACTGCCAGTCTGCATTTGTGTCCTGTAACTCCATCGGAGAGAAGCACAGCCTCGTCATGGTGTGTCGAGAGCTTTTGCCTAAGCTCCTGAAGGGGAAATTCCTTCAACCCGTGCAGGAGAAGATAGACAGCTTCCTGCAGCACTGTGCCGACGGCCTCACCGATGACCAGGGTGTCAATGGGGCGGTTGCAAAGCTGGCAGAGCTCCTGAAACCTCTGCGGTCTTGCGATTCCCGTTTTGCCTACCGCTATCCTGACTGCAAATACAGTGACAAATACTGACACTTTGGAGGAGTCCCCTGGGACGGACTGAGGCAGTGTCAGCCCCCTGCCAGTGCGGGAAGCAAGAAGGAACCATCGTAGCAGGAAAGAGCTACACCAAATCTGGTTCTTCATCATGAAGGCAGAGGAGAAGGAAGCAGAGTGCACATGGGATTTACTGTTCATCTCCCAGAGATGCATTTGTTACATGCGATGTTAAACATGATATAAGGCTTATGGATTACTAGCATTATCGTGAGTGACAGAGACTGCAGGATTAATAAATCTCATTCACATATTTTGGCCTTGGAAGAATTTTCCATGCCATTCATTAAAAAGAAACCTTCTGAAGGCAGCATGCTCACAACTAACTAGATAGAGGAGCTTTATTACTAAGAAAGTCTTTCTGATTGAGATGATATATACATAATATAGGATGGATGGAAGCATTTAAGACTTTCCTTGTGGGGATTTTTAATGCCCTAAAAATCATAGATAAACTGAAGCACCAGATCAATTCTATACCATCACCCATCACAAATCACTTTTATAAAATATTTAAATTTTATTACTTTTGTGGCACACAGAACAGAAAGATGCAACCAGCAGCATTAAAAAGCTGAAAGGTCCCATGTCTCTTGAAACTTAATTTCTCTAATCTGCAAATATAATTACTTTTAGTCTTTCCCATGTTGATGGGCAGTAATTTCAGTAATTGGAGACTAATAAACGTTTCTGGTTTAAGATTAGGAAAAAAAACCGACCCAGAAACAACTCTGGGATGTGATTGTAAAGCAGATACTTCACATTTTTCTCCTTAAAGAAAACTGGAGGAACCATTTTCTCAAACCCATTCAAACAGGAAAATTATTTCTCCTTAAGAGGAGAAATAACACAGGCAAGGGATGAAAGGTGAGTTTATCCTGAGCCCAGTGAGATTTGCTGAACACTCAGTACTCCACTGTAGGTGCTGGGCCACCCCCCAAGAGCTGGAGAGCTCTGAGTCCTGGCCAGCAAGAGATGCAGCCAACCTCATCCATTTGCCTTTCAAAGGAGGGATCAGTAAGGCAGTCCCTGAAGGAGTGACTCAGGCACCTAAAATTTGGAGTGATGGACTCTTTTTTCATAGCAGTGGCCAACCCAGGGCTAGGCGCAGGTGCCTTATTTTGTAGGGGAAGGTTACAAAAGTTGCAGAGTTGCAAACCACAACTTTCTCACCCAGCATCTGTCAGTCCCTGTCCCATGGTCTCTTTGTGGGATGTCAGAGGATCACACCAAACCTTCCCGGATATTTAGGGGACTGCTAAACCTCACCTGGGTTTGAGGCTTTCTGCTGGGATCCAGGTGCGCAGAATTCACCGAGCAAATGTGACTGAGCTGAGTCAGAAAGACTTTCTGGATCCTACATATTTTCATTATGGAAACACTCTGGCTATGGTTCGAAAAAGAAATTGGTAACAGCATAAAAGCAGAAAAAAGATGTGTGTGGATTAGCTTTGCTAATTGTTGTATGTTTTTAGTCAAGATTTTGTGGTGGCTGTGGAGGGGCTCTCTGCACGCAGAGCACCCAGCCTGGGATTCAAGGCAGGTGTTGCAGACACAGTAGGCATCCAAAACCACATGCAGTTCTGATGCCGAGAAAATCTGACCCAGGACATTTATTTTGCCTTTCCTTCTGGCATAAGTATCAAGTGCACCTTTCACCTCTCAAGAAGTAGAAACATTGAAAATAATTTGTAGGTAAATTTAGCTCCAGGCCCAGATGGTCCGACAGCAAAAATGTTTAAATATACAGCCTAAGCTATGGCTGCAGTCCTCTTTCTTGATACCAATCTATTTCTACATCATGGCTCTCTTCCAGTAAGAAAAACATGTCCTTTGCAGAGATCCATAAGGCTGTCTTAACAATCTGTTTTCAACAGTTTTTCTTGAATCTGTCTGCATCTCCAATCTTGGTCTGTGATTTTACCTGTTATCTGGGTGCTAGCCCTGGCTCCCTTCCTCTCCAAAGAGTTCCCCATGGTGCCAGCTGCTGGCTGCCTTGTGTGGGGCTGGAGGAACTCCTGCTTCACCACCACTCTCACTAATGTCAGTGATGTGGATTGCCCACCCTGGGCTGTGAGCTGACAGCACCTTTTCAGTGCCAGAGGGCAGCCTTCTTCATGCAGTTGTTAACTAAAAATGCACACTACAAAATGCCCAGAAAACACTAAGATGAAGAAGTGGCCTTTTCCGCTCATGCCCCAGCAGAGGTGACTTGCAAGCCATGTGTCTGTAGAGATGTCTTTGCAGCTGCTCCATGACTCAGGCTGGCCTCTGATTCAGTGCTCTCTGGTTTAGCAATGGCTTGACTTGCACTGAAAGGTGGAGCAGCCCTTGCAACAGGGCTCCTCTCTGGTTTCACAGCTCTCCCATGTGTCTTGGGCATTTTCTTTTCCACCATGCACATTTTCCTTTTGGAAATAAGCCATTCATTTACTGTACGGTTCTGTACAAAATGTCTCCTTGGCAGTAGAGCATCTCTCTGCTACCAAACCAGCCTAGAGAAATGCAGAGAGGATGCAAGTGCTCAGCACTTTGGAAGATGGCAGGAGCAAGCCCAGATCTCTCAGGTCTAATCCAGCATTGGGCAGAAGGACTGAGAGGTGTCACACAGGTTTCAGCTGTGCCCCAAGAATGTCTGATCCTAAAATGTTGGGTGTAAGAAACAGAGGAGTCATGGTCTTACTATGCTGCTTGGACTCAGTTGGCAAGACTGCAGCGGAAGTCTTGAGGCATGTGTCGTCTATTTGTACGTGGCTTGATTCAAAATTTTTGAAGCTGAGAGGAGTCTCCCCACTGCTTTCAATAGACTTTGATATGAATTTAAAAAAAAAAAAAAAGATTAAAAATAACAGAATCATGGATTTAAAAATTGTTAAAGTGTTGGGAGCTGTGTTCACCACCAGTTTCTCTTCAGACATTGATTACAAAGGCCAGGCTCATATAAGTTTGTGACACATGCCAGCCATAAAATCAGTCCATGGCTCAGAGAATAATAATTTTCCTAAACTAAATCTCATTTCCCTATATTTCCCTGGCCTTTTATTTCTTCATTGCCAATTATTTCTCTTAATATTTTCCTTTTTCTTGGCAGTCAGGTCCTGGAATCAGTGCCCACCCTCTCTGCCAGCTCCAGTCAGGCCTTGAAATGCTAGTAGGCCAGGCTCCAAAAGGATGTGAAATTAATTTATAAATGGCAATTATTTAAAACCTAATCCTTCCCAAAAGAACTCTCGAGCAATTTTTTTCTCTCTACGTTCGAGTTATTTCTGACGGTGGCTTTTGTGTGAGCCTTTGCAAACTGGTTCCTGGGAACAACTCACACCATTTCTGCAGCAGGACAAGGGTGGCCAGAGAAGTCTTCCACCAGTCTCATAGTCAGCCTCAGCACTTCCTTTATTTGTGGATAGCTTGCAGCTGCCTTTATATCCAGCTGTTTATTGGGTGTTTCTCTTACTGCCCCACATCCCACATATTTTTAAAGTTGTCATGGCAAGAGGTTTGTAAACTGTTTTCTGCCAAGTTTTGTCTAGCAGCACATTTTAAGAGCATCATTTCTCAGGGGATGTGGGCTGCACATGGGCATCCCATGGCAAATGACAGTCCCAGTTTCACCCAGCATGGTTCACTGCCTCCCTATGTCTCATCTTCAGCCAGTTCTTTGCATATGTCCATGGTGCTTGTACTGCTGCCCCCTGCCCCACATAACCCCTCAGGAAGGAACGGCAGCCAATGTTGGCATTAAATTGTATTTTTCACACACTTCTCCCACCAAAGAGAGAGCACCCTGGCAGCATTGGCTGAAACAGGTTCACATCATGGAAAATGGAAAATTGGTAAAAACTTGTTCCCTTGCATGAGCAACGCGTTGGGTGCCTGTTCACTCTGCACGCTTGTCAGCATTCAGCCACCCTCTTACTCCAACATGGCTGATGCACGGGGGAAATGGCACCGAGACAGAAGCTCTGAAGTGACTTTGTGCTCCCAAACACTGCAGGATGTCTATGCCTGTTAAGTCTGGGCTATTTTGACACCTCCTGGTACCTCCCTACCGCTGCATGTCCAAAGGGAAGAAAGCATGTTGTGTTTTGCTGGGAAAATCCACACAGATATGTGAAGTCAAAGCATCTGGTAACACACAGAGCACCCCAAAGCCTTCTAGCAGGGGCACTTTCACTACAGCTGTCCCTGGCAGGGTTGGAGGCCTGGATTTTCCACTCTATGGCTTTTGTGGGTAATAATTTCTTACCCCACTTTGCACCACTCCCAGCTTCCCACAAAGGGCCACCCAGAAAACATCGCACACTTTGGAGAACTGAAGATCAGCACTCAACAGCTCCTGTCCACAGGAGCAGCCAGACAAGAATATTTTGTGCAAGTGTCCTTCCAGCAAGCTCAGCCAACAACAGTTGTTTGCAGGTGCTTTTTATCTGCCCTCTGGTTTTCCGAGACTTTAGGATGCACTTGGGTCCCGTTTGCCAATTACTCTCTACAGCCAGGTGCTCTAGATGCTTTATTGCTAATTCTTCCTAAGTGAAACCTCAGCTTCTCCCATTATCACATGAATTTGGAAAGTAGATTTTAAACAGAAATATTGAATGTCATGAGATGTTATGAAATCACAAGAGCCAGCACCATGGTATTCTGAATTGGTTCACCAAGGAGCATTAATTTGATTAATAGGTGAGTCTAGCTGCTACTGTATCCTGTTTCTCTAATTCAGTGCTGAAAGGAGCTTGGTAGCCATCCTGAAATGAAAAACAAACAAGCATGAATTTCAAGGAAAGGAAAATTAAATGAAAACAGCTACTCATGGTAAGGCCATTGCAGGGGTTGGGGGAGGTGTGCACAGTTTCTTCCTTACGGATTAGAAAAAATGGCCAGCCTCATCTGCTCTCCTCTGCACGAGGATGGCCTCAGCCAGGGGGTGTTGGTGGGTTTTTAGCACTGCTCCTGAAGGAAGACTTGAACAACTGACA